AAAAGATCAAGGGAAAAACTCCATTGCTTTTTATGTGTTTATGGGAAATGCAATCAGCATTGTAGAAGGCAAAGCCTGTCAAAACGCAACCTCTAAAATTACTTATTGAATTCCACAAAGAGTGTCTGCCAAGCAGAGCGGAGCGCAGCATGTGGACAGGCCAAACAGATGGCTGTCCACGACTCTATGCCAGGCATTAATGAATCGAGTTTGATTAAAAGAACTCACAGGCAATGAGTGAAGTATGCTATATTAGAAAGAGAAGAATGACCTTTTAAATATTTCAACACTTAAAAAGATAGTTACATAACCACAGAGAATGCTTTTCTTACAATACTTTTCATAAGTAGCTGAAGGCTCTGAGCAAGACTGCCGTTTCCATTAAGGCTTGGCAGCAAACAGGTCAGACCACTTTATGTAAGGAGCTTACACCCAAGAAATAAAGGTAAGTACACTCATTCTGTGAAGCAATCAAGCTGTCCTAACACTCATAGTTAAATACTCATTGGTATTGCTAATTCACGGCTTAACATGTTAGTAAGCAAGAACACAGGAAGCAGTACAGCTGAATCTGTGGCTATGTATGGAGATAATAATCACTGGTGAACTTTCACACCAGAACGCTCACGTCACGTTTAAATAAACATTCAGCAGCAAACTATCAGTTCATTCATACTGGTTACAACTAAGATCCACATGATATCAAACCTGACCCTATTTACTTTAACGCATGTTCCTTATAAACGGCAAGATTTTTTTTTTTTTTTAAAGAAACCTCACCAAGGCTGCATATTGGAACAAAAAAATACAGTAAAGAGTTTAATATTGTGAAATATTATTACAATCTAAAATAACTTTTCTATTTTAATATATTTTAAAATGCATTTTATTTCTATAATAGCAAACCTGAATTTTCAGCAGCCATTCAGTCACATGAGCCTTCAAAACACATACTAATATGCCGATTTGGTGCACAATGAAAAAATGTTCATTAGTTTTCAACCGTTGTGTTGCTTAATGTTAGTGGAAACCATGAAACTTTTTTTTAGCATTCTTTGATGAATAGAGAGTACAAAACAACAGAATTGATTTCAAACAGAAATCTTTTATAATCGTCTTTAATGTCAGTTTTGATCAATTGAATGCATCCTTGCTGAATAAAAGTATTATTATTATTTTTTTTTTTTTCATATTGACCCTAGACGATGTTATCTTCATCTGAAACAACTTTCCATCACAATGACATTGTTAAGGTGCATGCTATTGGACATTGTTAAAATAGATATGAAAGCAGGTTTTTAGCAAACATGCATTCAATCTGATTCCAATCTGGTATGTAACTGAAGCATAAAATCAAGTCACACCCCACATTTTTTCTTAATGAACATCATTGAAGTTTCAGCCGTTATTTCAGATAAAAGTCAGACTCCGTAGACTGCACAACTACCCGTCACTGCAAACCTTTGTCACAGAAACAACAAAGCAGGCACAAAATTAGTAGTTTTACCTCTTGTAGTTTGAAGTTCTTCCTTTCAGAAAACATGACCTCATTCCACACCACCTCCACACCTTCCTCTGTGTCCATGGCAAGATAAGCATTGTCGATACCTGGGACGTTGCGCTGGTTAACCTGTTGAGGAGGGGAACATTTATTTACTCATATTGCTTACATTTTGATCCATTCTTTACACAAAGCTATTGAAAGACTTGAACTGTACCTCTTCTCTCCGTTTCTGCCAGCGTCCACAGGGGCTTTCCTCCAGGATTTCAGATTCATCTTCGCTCTCCTCCTCCTCATCCTCAGTTGCAGGTAGTGCAGGCTGTGTTACTGTGGACACCGGAGGAGACACCGATGAAACCCCCTGGCCGGTAGGTGGCGAGGCTGTGGACTCAGACTTCGTGTCCATAGTGGATGCAGGGGCAGGGGTGGCGCTCTGCTTTCCTTCTTCTGACATCACTGACTGATAACTGACAGCCCTGTCCTGAACCGCCACAGAGAAGAAGACTGGCTGACTCACACCTCAAAGGCAGGAGGCAGAGAGCTGCAAAATCAGGAGTGATTCATCACAAGGAGTATAAACAGTATAAATATGTATTCAAGATCAAAACAAAATATTACGTTTAATAAATGAAATATATTGTCACAACTTTTATGATTCAGTTAACAGCTTTTTTCCTCCTTCAGTCAGTATCTCATAAAGACTGCTATCACAAAGCTAGCTTTTACAATATTTATATAATTTTTTTTTACTTTTTACTGTTTTGTTGATTTCCCTGATACTTTTCCGTGACCTGAAACTTGATGAAGGTGATTGTAAACTAAATACAGGTAAAGTGAGCCATACATTACACTTTTCAGGTTAACTGTTATATGATATCCCATGTAAAATTATGATTTTTACATGTGCCCAAATCTCAAATGAAAGTGAACCAGCAAAACATTCACTCTGAAACACTAAAAAACTTAAACTAACAACTTCAAATGTAAGAACATTTCTAAACAACATCAGAAACTGAACTGAATCACTTCAACTGTCAACTCAGTGTCAGTTTCAGTTAAAACTAGGGTAATTTTGACCTCCAAAACTGTACAAGTCTGTAACAGCTGCTGAGGCATTAACAGACTTTTGCGCTTTTGTAATGTTGACATAATTTCTCTCTCCTCATTGTCCTGTCCTCAATTCAACACAGGCCTCAGTTTATGTTCAAGCATTCAAAACATACTACGCCGACTATCCCACCTCACTGATAGGAAACAAAACACAACAAATACAACACCCTTCTCCCCAGCATATAAACTGCATTTTCGATTATCTTACTTTAGTCTATCCTGAGATGAGCGGCGTCCCCAGCTCGCCGGAAGCAGCTAGTCGGTGGAAGTTGAGGACACGGAGGAGGAAAATTTTCAGACAAGGAGAAAAAATTATAAATCCTCAAACAATATGAGTCCGTGTAGGAGTGTAGCTGTAAAGGGGAGAGTTAGTGGTCCACAGAATCTCCAAGATATGAAGTGACTGTTCAATTTCCCTTTTGCCGACTCGCGAATGAGAAGCTAGCAGCGCAGCTCCGCGGCCTCCGGAGGCTTCGCGATTATTATATCAGAGAAATAGATTTCCTTGGACGATATGATAAATGTTAAGAAAAATAATCAAAATATCAAAACTTTCCGGTCAGCAAAATCAGCTCAAACTGAAACAAATATTGCTAGCTGTCAGATTTGATGCGTTTAGTCAGATAGCCGCGGATGCTAACTTACACTCCCTGATATTCGCGTTCTTCAATGAACTCCTCACGGAACGATCTGTTTCTCCCGTAACACTTAAGTATTAGGCTACGACACGAATGGACTCAAATGAACTAAACACCGATATCCCTGAAAAAGCTACAGGTAAATGGCGACAGCTCCGAGTTTTATGGTGCGCTGTTGCTTATTCCTGTATGAACCGCTCTGTGGTTTATAAAGCGAGTGTAAAGTTGGACCAAGTTCACACAGCGCCATCTGCTGGATGACATTGACACCTGAGATCGGTAAAATAATCCATGTGACATCAGTGGTTCATCCGCAATTATACGAAGCTACGAGAATACTTTTTGTGCACAAAAGAAAAAAAAAACTTTATTCAATGATTCGTCTCCTCCGCATCACCCTGTAGCGCCATTTTGGAGAGTATCCGCTGGACATAAACAACGTATGCTGTTCTGTGTCAGCTGCGTCACGCCAGATCTGTTTCCCACGTTGTTGTGATTTGATCTGAAAGAAAACAGCGTATCGCATATGCTGTTTACGTCCAGCGGATACTCTCCAAAATGGCGCTACAGGGAGGAGACGAATTGTTGAATAAAGTTTTTTTTTTTTTTTTTTTTGTGCACAAAAAGTATTCTCGAAGCTTTGTATAATTGCGGATGAACCACTGATGTCACATGGATTATTTTACCGATCTCCTTGCTACGTTTCTGGATTCGGGAACTTTTCAGTTATGTTGCTGTCTATGCAGGGTCAGACAGCTCTCAGATTCCATCAAAAATATCTTAATTTGTGTTCCGAAGATGAACTTCGTTTGAAACGACATGAGGGTGAATAATTAATGACAGAATTTTCATTTTTTGGGTGAACTAACCCTTTAACCCTCAATGACCGATGGAGAGAAAATAACACACATTTATTCGTTCATCCTTTGTATATTAATTCACTACATATAGAGAGAGATTATTAAATATGATGTATTTATATGTTACATGATATATGATATTGTATATGATACGTTTGGCCTATTTACGCTTAGCTTACATGGACATATGAAATTAGTGTACAAAAGTTCTGTCCTGTAGAACCTATTCATTCATTCAATCATTCATTCATTCATTTACAGTCTTCAAAGTATTTGTCCTCTGTAGAGTCATGGAGTATTTATTCATTTATTTATTTTCATTTGTTCAAACCACTTGTTTCCTGTTTGTTTGTTTGATTGATTAAGTGCGAAATGACAAGAAGGTATGAAGAGTATGGGAAATTTCTTCAGAAAAAAATAAAATTAATATAGGACACACAAAGGCAAAGTCCATTGCCAGTTTTTTTTCTTTCTTTTTTTTCTTTTTCTTTTTGTCTTTTTCTTTTTATATAAAACGAGAGAGAAATCTATAATTTCTGAATATGTAAAATATACAACATGTGTATATTAGGTATTGTAGATGTATTAGAAGTAAATAGACATTTTAAGTATGTGTTCACTTAAAAAATTTCCATGAAGGATAATTTACTTTTTAACACCTGCATGTTCATCTGTAAACATCTATAGAAATAAACATTCGGGGGTTTTTACTTTTCTAATCTTTGACTGGACCTCTGTTATTCCCATTATCCGCATTGGAAATGTCTGAGGTCACCAGCTGGGAATCATGCCCCCATTAGACAGGCGAAAGAGAGAAACCCTCATGTCCCTGTAGGAGGCCTATAAATAGAGTTAGCTTCCAAGAGGAACAGGGAAAAGTTGCAAGCACATGTGAGCATGTGTGCATGTGTGTGAACCGGTGTAGATACTGATTGAATATTGATACTGAGCCCTATTCATTCATCGCTTCTTTGGCATCTGTCATCAAATAGCAATATGGCAGAAGAACAAAAGTTCTCAGAAACATCTGTCCAACTGACTGAGGCCGCTCCACAGACTGTGGGCAGTGGTTTTACTGCCCCGGGAAACATTTATTCAGCCATTTTAAGTCGCAACGAGACTGTTAAAGATGCTAGGCGTCTCAAGGACTTTCAGGAGCTCAGAGACAAATATGTACTCAAGAAAGTGCTGTTTGAAGACCCGCTGTTCCCTGCTGAGGATTCCTCTCTCTTTTACAGTGAAAAGTTCCCTCTAAAGCTTGAATGGAAGCGCCCGTCGGTGAGTGACCTACTATAACGTGGCACTGTGCATGAGATCAGTTACATCTGACCCTCTGTGGAACAGAGATGTTTTTGGATAAAATGATAATAGAATTTCTGCAGTTCTGCATGGGGATATTTTCTTCTTGGCTAATTCAAAATTAAAAATGTATTTTAATTGAACTGAATTTAATTGAATTTGAATAAATGAAATATTTTTAATTTAATTTGTGTTTTTAAAATATTATTTTATTTCATTTTTGCCATTTTGTAGACATTTAGCAGATGCTTTTATCCAAAGCGACTTACAAATGAGGACAATGGAAGCAATCAAAATCAACAAAAGAGCTATGATATGCAAGTGCTATAACAAGTCTTAGTTACCTTAATATTAATTAGTTTTATTAATATTTTAATGTTTTTTCTATTTTCTATTTTCTTTATTATTATTATTATTATTATTATCATTTTAGAAATATTGCCTAGGAAACTACATTAAAAGTATGTTTTTTTTTGTTTTATTTTATTTCAAGTAACAAAATGTTTTTTATGGTTTTAGTTTTAACCCTGGTCCCAACTGTAAAAAATGATTGTGATTTTAACAGTAAAAGACTGTAAAAATGCTACAGTAAAAACCTGTTAACTGGTTAACAGTAAGTTTCCATACTATATTTCTGAAGAGGGTGGTTCCTCATGACCAGAGCTTCACTGAAAACTATGCTGGCATTTTCCATTTCCAGGTATGAGCATCAAAACTGGACCGTCCTTTACTGTCTGATGAATGTAGCACAAACTTAACTCACTCTTTGTCTATTCTTCTAGTTCTGGCGCTATGGGGAGTGGGTGGATGTGGTTGTGGATGATCGACTTCCTACATACAAAAATCAGTTGGTGTTCACCAGGTCTGGACAGAAGAATGAATTTTGGAGTGCTCTTCTGGAGAAGGCATATGCAAAGTAAGTTTTTATATATATATATATATATAAATGTAACACAATACTTTGTCATTGTAGTCCATACTATATTCGGTGAATAAATGTAATTACATTTAATGTAATTCTACAGTAAAATACCAGACAGCTCTCGGCTATTTTCTGTGAAAAAGAAAAAGTCATTGTATAATTTACAGTGAAAAAAATGTAAATTGGCACTCCCAGAATTCCCTGCATGACACTTCATATTTGATGTTTTTTGTTGAAATAACATGTTCTTTTTAGTATTTTCTTATCAGTTGTGTACACTAGGGTTTAATCTTACATCTAATGTTGTTAAATTAATGTTTATTGCATTATTTCAGTATTATGTGTGTCACCATGATGGGGTTTAGTGTTTGTGTGAATGACACTGTGCAACTTCTATATATAAGTATTGTCCTCCTCAGCTCGCAGACAAGCTGTTTGTGATGCGCTTTAGTTCATCATGTGACTTTCTCATCACCACCAGTTTTTGGTGGTTATCAGTGCATTACAATGGTTCAAAACAGATTTTAGTACTTAAATATGTTGGTTTATTAACTTTACATCAGTTAATGAAAAACGGTATTTTATTGTGAATTTAGATTAAGTCTGTAAAAACTAAAATGTGGCTACCATATTTTTTATGGTGAAGTTCTGGCAACCACAGCTGCTGGTATTTTACCGTAAATGTCACAGATTTTTTTTTACAGTAGCATCAGCTGCATGTTTCAATGCAATAGCAAAAACCTTGTTCACAGGGTAAACGCAAGGATGGTAAAGACCTAATGATCCGTCTGGTTCGTGTGCGAGACCCCTGGGGAGTTGCCCCCCCTCCTGCCTGTAAGTCTAATGACTGGGCTGCACTAGCCACATCTGAGCAAGACAAGGAGAGACTCCGGCCTACAGAGCAAGGGGAGTTCTGGTTAGTTCACAGCTTTATGAGTCCCATCAGGCTTCCAGAAAGTCTCAAACAGTCTATTACACTTCATTTAATGCTCATAAATGGAAGCCGGTACCTCTTATAATTTTACTCATTTTTCTTCAAACAAGGATGTGCTTTGAGGAATTTAAGAAGAACTTCACCAAACTGGAGATTTGTAATGTCACCCCAGACACTCTTGAGGATGACCAGATGCTCAAGTGGAATGTGACCACACATGATGGCCGATGGGTGAAAGGCTGCTCTGCTGGTGGCTGCAGAAACTTTCCGGGTATCTAGTATTATCTTGCAAAATTGTAGACTCGTTTGTCCTCATGAGATGGTTTTAAAAGCACCTTACATTAACATTACTGATATTTTTCATGGAGATGTGGCTTATACTATATATATAATTTTTATTTTTAGATTTGCCATTTTCATGGTTTAAGTTTTTATTTTATTTTATTTTATTTCAGCTCATTTTTATTTAATTTCTAGTAATGGAAATGTTTTTATGGTTTTTAGTTGTTTTATTTATTTATTTGGAAATAAAAAAGTAAAAGTAAAAAAAAAAAAAAAAAAAGTCACAATAATCCCTTTCTGTCCATTTTGTCACAGATACATATTGGACAAACCCTCAATTCCGCCTGGTTCTTCTGGAGACGGATGCTAAAGAGAAGACCTGCACGGTGGTGGTGGCATTAATGCAGAAGGGCAGAAGAAAAGAGCGCTGCTCAGGTGCCACCCTACACAACATTGGGTTCGCCATCTATGAGGTGCGATCAATTAAACACACCCTCAGTACAAAGAACATTTCAACATACACTACATACATAATCAACACTCTTTATTGGCAACTATGGTTCCATAAAGAACCTTTGACATCCATAGAACCTTTCAAATGTGCAAAAGGTCCTTCAGGTTATGCTCTTTACACTAAAAACTGAGAACTGTTCACTGGAAGGGTCGTCTATATGGCATTGGTGTGAAAGCCCCTTTTTCAAACCTTAATTTTTAGACTAAATATGCAAGGCTAAAGTTAGTTACCTACAGTTTTTCAGTTAATTACCATGGTTGCTGATTTATTTCAACACTGTTTTACCCACTGTCTTTCCCAGGTTCCTAAAGAGGTATGACCACATCTTGAAGAGACCGCAATGATGACATTATATGTCAGTGTGACTGCATTTAAACAGACACATCTTTGTTGTTCGCCAGTATTTCATTCATTTTAAGTCCTTAAATCTGTTCATTACTGCATGATTCATTTGGTCATAGAAAACCTGTAAATATCAGGGAATTTTAAAGTTGTGATCTTAGGTCTGGAATAATATTTCTAAATAGAATACAGATTTTTCTAAGCTATAAAATATTTATTTAAATTGGCTAGACTACAAATCAACAACAACTAGATAAAAAAAGTAATATTTCTTGAAATATTGCCTTGAAATGTTCTATCTCCTATCCTGATTTTAGATGAAGGGCAACCAACAACAGCTGCCAAAGGATTTCTTCCTGTATAATGCTTCCACAGCTCGCTGCAAGTCTTATGTCAACATGCGTGAGGTGACGGAGCGTTTCTGCCTGAAACCGGGCGAGTATGTCATTATTCCATCCACCTTCGATCCCCACAAGGAAAGCGAGTTTCTGCTCAGAGTCTTCTCTGAAAGCAGGAGCACCTCAGAGTAAGTCTTCACATTGATTGTGCACGTCAAATCAGTCATTCTAATAATATTAACCAGTATTAATTACCAATACATTATCAGTTTAATTATAACAGCTGCATGTTCTCTCTCAGGGTTATAGATGCAGAGATTGAGGTGGAACCTGTGGTGAGTCCACACCTGTCTCTGTCTGTCTGTCATGTTCTGTGGCACCTCATACTACATCCTGTCTCTGTGCTTTGGTCTCTTGAATGTAGTAGATCATTAATTTAGTGCAACCGAAAACAAAAGTAGTTCAGTTTTTTCTTCTACATAATCACAAAAGATAATAAAAAATTTTTTTTTTTAATCTGATGTTTCACTTTCTTATACCAACAGACGGATGTCAAGAAGAAAATCAAGGTAAATATGGAAATGAGATTAAGATGTTGCATCAATTTATTTTCTTTCCTGTTTGATATTCTATGTCAGCCCATGTCAGATGATAGAAGGATTAAAAAAAGATGGAAAAGGAGATGAAAAATCATTGTGATGTGATGTTCTGTTAATTGGCTGCACTGCTGTAGACATGCAGCTCTGTTTTCATCTTCAGTTCTGCTTCAGTAATGACAAACAGCATGCACACAGCATGAGCTGGTACAGTATGTCAAAACTATCATTCAAAATGGCACTCAAAATCATAATAATAAGCACAAAACTGCCTTGTTGTGATGTAATTTTTACTTGCAACAGCGCTTTGGTCTCTTGAATGTAGTAGATCATTAATTTAGTGCAACCGAAAACAAAAGTAGTTCAGTTTTTTCTTCTACATAATCACAAAAGATAATAAAATTTTTTTTTTTTAATCTGATGTTTCACTTTCTTATACCAACAGACGGATGTCAAGAAGAAAATCAAGGTAAATATGGAAATGAGATTAAGATGTTGCATCAATTTATTTTCTTTCCTGTTTGATATTCTATGTCAGCCCATGTCAGATGATAGAAGGATTAAAAAAAAGATGGAAAAGGAGATGAAAAATCATTGTGATGTGATGTTCTGTTAATTGGCTGCACTGCTGTAGACATGCAGCTCTGTTTTCATCTTCAGTTCTGCTTCAGTAATGACAAACAGCATGCACACAGCATGAGCTGGTACAGTATGTCAAAACTATCATTCAAAATGGCACTTAAAATCATAATAATAAGCACAAAACTGCCTTGTTGTGATGTAATTTTTACTTGCAACAGCCATAGAAAAGGAAAAATGTAAAAGCTCTGATCTAAAGACCACTTATAAGCAAAGATTAAGTGGATTTGCTCTATAAACAAAATAAAATAAATATAAACACTGAACTATTTAAAGGCACATGCACACATATTTAGATGTCCACTAATTTAGTTTGTTGTACATTCAGTATTTCTTATTTCTCACGTTTAGCCATTTGAGGAGGAAGAGACTGAAGAGGAAAAACAGTTCAGAGCCATCTTTCAGCAGATAGCTGGAGATGTGAGTACAGTTATGGAAATGCACTTTTGAATGCCATATTCACTTCATACTATCAATATTGTGATTGTTTCTTCTTGCAGGACATGCAGATTAATGCCAATGAACTCAGAACCGTCCTTAACAGAGTGGTTGCCAAATGTGAGTATAATTGTCTTATTGTCTGCCACTGATTCTCTTCTGTATGTCTCTGTCTGCAGGGTTTTAATAATCAATCCCTTTCCTTTCCTCAGATAAAGAGTTGAAAACAGAGGGTTTCAGTCTGGAGAGCTGTAGAAGTATGATCGCACTTATGGATGTATCCTTCACTGTGCATTATGGACAAATAATGTATGTATGAAGTGAAGTGTGGCCAAGTATGGTGACCCATACCCGGAATTTGTGCTCTGCATTTAATAATCCGTGCCAGTGGCTTAGCAGAATGCGCCACTCAGTTGACATGAGTGTATGTGCATAATCCGGTCATGCCAAAAGGAATCGACATGATCAGAAGTTTCCCATGAGGGTGAAAAAGTTCCCCACACAGATGCTGCTCATTCTTAAGTTGGTCACATGAATTCGGCACATTAAAAAAAACAGAAACCTGATGGGTTCATACTTTTGAAATCGATTTTGAACTCGAAAATTCACTGAACAACGGTGAATGTGACTGCGCCTTAACACTTCAAAAACAAAGAAACAAGAGCCACTACATGCTCAGTGGTAGTATAAAAAATACACCGACAAAAATGGGGTTGTGAATGGTTGGCCACTATAAATTTAGGTAAGAACACGAAAGAAAAGCAATTACTCAGCTTAAACCAGAAAATGAACAAACAAACTGTGCCAAGACCAAAGTCACCCCCATACTCTTAAATAATACACTATTTGAAGGAACAGCCATTTATAATGGTGTCCAGAACTATAGTGGACATTATTAAGGGCACTCATTTAATCCTATGCCACACCGCAATAACGAGTGTACAACTGATGCATGCTCAACCACTAGCACCCTCATTTTCATAATAATAATTATAATAATAATAATTAGATATTACAATTGTGTAAATAATAATAATTAGATATTACAATTGTGTAAATAATCATAATAATTAGATATTACAAATGTGTTGCACATTTTATTGGTCCAGACTCCAGAGATATGTATTTTGTAAAACGTTTGCAACTGTTATTACTCAATCAGAAACACCACAATAATCATTCACAATAATCGCCATAAAATCATTGGGTGCCCTCTCCCAACTTTAGAGGACCTTCACAGTTCCTGCTGTCTCAAGAGGGCTCACAGTATCATAAAGGACTCATCACACCCTGGTCATTCTTTGTTCAATCTGTTACCATCAGGCAGACAGTACAGAGCCATTAAAACAAATACAAATCAACTCAAACACAGTTTTTATCCAATAGCTGTACAAGCTTTAAATGCCTCAGGACTAATGTGAAGAAATTATTTTGTGTATTTAATAGTATTTGCACTTGTGTGTGTTTTTTATGGGCTTTGTGCAATTTTTTTGAAAGTAAGTGGGTGTGTGCACTTTTTTTTGGAATGAGAGACAAAAAAGATTTTTCATTTGGACTGTCGGACAAATGACAATAAAGGTATTCGTTATAAAATTGCTCTGTAAACACTTGCATAAGTGTGTCCCATTGGGTAATGAAGAGTTTTACACACACTTGTGGTCTTCATGTCCACTTGAACACTAGAGCCAAATACAGGAAATAAGTAGAGGGCTCACAGTATCATAAAGGACTCATCACACCCTGGTCATTCTTTGTTCAATCTGTTACCATCAGGCAGACAGTACAGAGCCATTAAAACAAATACAAATCAACTCAAACACAGTTTTTATCCAATAGCTGTACAAGCTTTAAATGCCTCAGGACTAATGTGAAGAAATTATTTTGTGTATTTAATAGTATTTGCACTTGTGTGTGTTTTTTATGGGCTTTGTGCAATTTTTTTGAAAGTAAGTGGGTGTGTGCACTTTTTTTTGGAATGAGAGACAAAAAAGATTTTTCATTTGGACTGTCGGACAAATGACAATAAAGGTATTCGTTATAAAATTGCTCTGTAACTTGCATAAGTGTGTCCCATTGGGTAATGAAGAGTTTTACACACACTTATGGTCTTCATGTCCACTTGAACACTAGAGCCAAATACAGGAAATACGTCAAGTAAGCAGACAAGTGGTCAAGTGCAAATATGGCAAGTGTGGGTATTTGGACAGGCCCTGTGCATCCCTCTCCCATCTTCCTTTCTGTAGATTGAAATTTCTTGCTGCATGTGAACAGTGCCCCTTGTGGCCTGGATGATTTGTCACAAATAGTTTTGTTATTTCAAATTTGTCACATGCATGATGACACACATCCATACAAAGGTTCAGAAATGTAACTTAACCACGACTTAACCTTAGACTGATGGGACAGGCCACCTAAACCTGCAAGAGTTTAATCACTTATGGAACAAGATTAAAAAGTGGAAGGTATGCTATTGTTTTTGCCTTTATAAAGCAGGTCCAGTCATGTTCTTTTGTAATACACTGTATTAGTTAAAACCATTACACATGGTTTCTCTGTACATTTGTTTCAGCTGGTGTTCACACGTTATGACACAGACAAATCCAGTACGATCAGCAGTTTTGAAATGAGGAATGCTCTTACTGAAGCAGGTGAGGCAGTCAGATGTCTTTGTTTAACTTCTAATTTGACGATATACACATTTTTATTGGGCTGATCCCTTAGATATTTCTCTGTACCTCAGGTTTTCAACTCAACAATCAGCTGTATGACATTATTTGTATGCGATACGCCAATGAACACATGGAGTTGGATTTCGACAGCTACATTAGCTGCTTAGTGCGACTCGAGGGAATGTTCAGTAAGTGTGATAGTCTTTTCTGTTCAGACATATTTTTCTTCTAAAGTACCATTATGTTTATTCTTGTGAGACTTTGTGAAATTAGACTTTGTAGCGACCGGATACTTGTAGTAAAAGAGATTCTTTTACAGGGGCATTCAGAGCCTTTGACAGGGATGGAGATGGCATTATCAAGCTCAATGTTTTTGAGGTGAGCAGCATAATTTTTTTCTTCATTTGTTTATTGAATATTAACAGAATAAACATTTACAAGCAGCATGATTGTTAATCATATTTGTACTGATCACTGCTATTTACACCCTAAAACGTTTCTGTTTTCTACACTATATACACAGTGGCTTCAACTGACCATGTATGCCTAAAGACACAAACACAGATATAAGGTCAGCCTGGTGGAAAGTGAGTGGTCTTTTCCCATTTTCAACTTCCATTAAGCGGAGAAAGGTCTGGATCCGAATCAATTGTACTGTACACCACTGCAGCTTCTGTCTTCAGAAAATGCTGGTCTAGAACAAACTGGATTGATTATGAGCTTCTGAACGGACCATGATGGCTCATTTATGTCTATGAAAAAGCACTTATTTGGTCGACTATCCCTTTAAGGTGACAGAATGCTGTCATATTAAATGTCATGCCTAAAACGACACTCATTTGAACCCATCCTTGTAAAATGTGTGTGCTACTGTGCAACTGTAAATAATTCAACGGAATAAAGAGCACTGTTCTATTCCAGTTGTTACCATAGCCATGATTTGCAAAGCATAATCAAACAGCACATAATAGTACAATAGATGTGTGTCATGACTGCAAGCAAAGGACAAACATATGATGAACCGTGAGCATGAACAAAACTTCTTGTGCTGGAGTAGCAAGAACACAGATGATAAAAACAACCAAATGTTTTGAACACTTTAAAATATTATTCAGATTCCTATGAATAGAACAACTACAAACCTCTGAGAGCAAGTCTGAATGAATATGCTAGTATGTAGTCTTGTAAGCAAACTTAATTGCTGTTCTGAAAATCTTTTAACTGACCTGAATCATCAGATGGATGGAAGCTTTGTTGGACTCTGTAACATCTCCTTTCATGTCCTATTATTCAAAACTGTAGGCAAGCATGTCAAGATAGAAATGACATTTTATCATGCCAGAATCAGAGCATTTTTTTCTGTTGAATCAAATGAATGCATAATCCAGTGTGATTTGCCATAAAACTACTATAAAACTAGAATTAAAGTCTGTTCTAATAGTGCAGTTATGGGCTTTGCAATGCGGTACTTGCTCACAGAGCTCAATTTTGTGCACTGAGAGGTATGTTCAGCATCAGATACTTCTGGGAGTAGGTCCTGTGTTACAGCTGCTCTGTGAGGCTCATTGGGTTGCTGAAGACCAATCCTTTCATCAGAGGTTCACACAGCTGTCAAGATTCATTTAGCACCTCCTGCTGGTCACCAGGATCTGACAAAACATTTGAAGTACAAACAATGATAATGCATTATTGTAAACATGCATAATGACATGTATAATATTACATATTAATATCAGACATATATTTATTCAGAGTTGAACTGAATAAATATATTACAGATGTTACAAGAGCTCTTACTCGTCATATCCTGCAGAATCTTTATGCGCTTTGCCCTGAGCGAGGCCATTTCTGAGGTTACCTGACAACAGAGAAGTTTATTGTTTGCAAATAATTATTAATTACATTATGAATGTATTAATTGTACAGTTTACAGTATAATTAATATTCTAGTGCATTAGTATACATGTGACCCTGGGCCACAATACCAGTCATAAGGGTCAATTTTTGGAAATTGAGATTTATACATCATCTGAAAGCTGAATAAATAAATTTCCATTGATGTATGGTTTGTTATGATAGGACAATATTTGGCCGAGATACAACATCTGGAAAATCTGGAATCTGAGGGTGCAAAAAAAATCAAAATACTGAGAAAATCGCCTTTAAAGTTGTCCAAATGAAGTTCTTAGCAATGCATATTACTAATCAAAAATTAAGTTTTGATATATTTACGGTAGGAAATTTACAAAATATCTCCATGGAACATGATCTTTACTTAATATCCTAATGATTTTTGGCATAAATGAAAAATCGATAATTTTGACCCATACGATGTTTTTTTTTTGGCTATTGCTAAAAATATACCCAAGCGACTTAAGACTGGTTTTGTGGTCCAGGGTCACATATATTATAGTGCATTATAAATTTTAGGACTATAATTGTAGTATAAATTGGCTACAGAAAAGAAAAGTAGGGAAAATATATTTGTCTTACTATGAGCAAAGCTGCTCATGAAGTATGTAAAGAGCTTGTAATGCATATTAATAGAACAGCCATGTACCTCTTGTTTAACAGCTAGTAGACGCTGAACTTCTGTGTATGCGCTCTGCAGGGTGGAGTACGCCTGGAATAGCTGCTCACCTACATTCTCCAAAGAGCTGGTGAACTCCTCTTCTTTCAAAGACAGCGATATCAACTTGTTCACTTTTCCTGAGAATCATAAACACACAGGTGAACACTATGACATGTACTAGTGTGTTTCTGGACGAGACAGTGCTGAATTATCAGTTACAGCTGGTTTAACATCTATTAAATCATTCAGGACTAATTTGTGTTATATGGAACAAGGATATTTTAACATAATTGACTTATTCTCCCCATAAAATTTAAAATAGGAAATCTAAATTTGCATTTTTGCATTGATAAAATGAGATAATTTAAATAAAAATAATTCCATTCAAAATTTATTTAAATAAGAAATGTTAATTAAAGGAACACTCCACTATTTTTGAAAATAGGCTCATTTTCAAACTCCCCTAGAGCTAAACAGTTGAGTTTTACCGTTTTCTAATCCATCCACTCTCATTCCGGCGTAATAATCAAGGAACTTTGCTGCCGTACCATCGGTGCAGCAGGCGCAATGATATTACGCAGCGCCTGAAAATAGGCTAACTTCCGTCAACACAACCAACGTGACCACCTGCTTGCACAGGGAGCGTGCTGTGGACTATTTTCAGGCGCTGCGTAATATCATTGCGCCTGCTGCACCGATGGTACGGCAGCAAAGTTCCTTGATTATTACGCCGGAATGAGAGTGGATGGATTCGAAAACGGTAAAACTCAACTGTTTAACTCTAGGGGAGTTGTAAAATGAGCCTATTTTCAAAAATAGTGGAGTGTTCCTTTAAAGCTATAATAAAATGGAAAACTCACTTTTTCGGGATATTTTGTTGTTTGTCTCAGGAGTCAGATCATGTGAATCGTCCTGTAAAATGAATAAAACTCTATGATACATTTCTATGAATTCCAGATACTTCTATTAGACACAACATCCCCCTAAAACTCTTTTACTTGTTTTTTTGTCTTGGTTTTCTGGACGTTGCAGGAGATGGCTTCAAAGCTGTGGTGATGCTCCAATGATGTTTCTCCCTGTTCTGTCTCACACGCATCTGATTTGTTTTTCTGAACATGCGCAGTATGAGGCCGAACGTTTTCAACAATCCACATTTCCAACTCATTTTCTGAAGCCTGGCTTTCGAACATCTCAGCCGGGACAGATACAGGTGGAAGAGAATCTGCGTATGGTTCTGGTCCACTCATGCATTCTCTAGGGAACAAAAAAAAAAGATGTTAAAGAGATCATAGTTTAAATGTTATTTCATCTAAGGTTAGGAAGACTTTTAAGACTGAAACATGCTCTTGGATCCAATTTTATGGCTAACTCTCAAGAGACTATAAAAGAATGAGTCTCAAAGAATTTAAGCAAATAAAACTCATAATTTATTCACCTGGTCATGCCCTGTTCACTCTCTGATGTCGCTCTGTTTACTTTCAACATAGACTTTTTGGAACAAGTGTGTAGTGGAGGATTAAGAACAACAGCTTCATTCCCAGTTGCTGCCTTCTGTGTTAAACAAACTCCCCTTGCTGCTGTCAAGTTGGGTATGTTGGCCTCCATCCTGCTTTGGACCAGTCCAGGGTCACATGTCGGCTCAGCAGCAGCACCACATTCAGTTCCTGGAGTCATGTCGTTCACACAAACATCTTTACCTTTTCCATCACGGTTGGGACGAGTGCCATGAGCAGACATTACCTGAGGAATATTTTCTGATGGTCTCTCAAGACAAGGCCTTTTCACAAGCGGCCCATTTGATCTGTCCATATGAAGTATGCTCTCTTGTCTACGTGTAGGCAGGTTTTGGTTATGCTGGATAGATGCTGGATGGTCATTTTGATTTTCCCAAAAGGACATGAAATGGCATGATGGTGGCAACTGGTCAGTTTCAAACTCCTCATTCACCATGAAAGGTGTTGTACAATGCTCGTTCTCAGCTGTGCTTCTTATCTGAATGAACCTCATTGTCTTCGGCCTTTTTGCTTCTTTCCACTTCTCCATTTTCTCTTTCTTTTTCATAAATCTAACAAGAAAGAAGCAACAAGTCTTACAGCACAAAACTAATGCTATTGACCAAATAACTGACAAACGCAAATGCATTTGAATCATTCAACCATCAGCCATTCAGAAGATGTATAATTAAACAAATAACCACATGAATGAGCTGACAATGAGTTTACCTTTTATGGTCTCTTTGGGCACAAAGGTCTTTAAGCTCATTAAATTCAACACTGTAGTCCACTGTATTTTTTCCAAGTTTTCTATTCTTCGTCAATTCCAATAGCTTCATTTTGTGATTTTGGGTGGAAATATGCTTCCGAAACACTGCTATTCCTGTCATAGTCATTTCGCAGGCCCAACACTTATGCTCGTGTTCACTGTAAGAAGAAAAGCATATATTTGACATTGCATTAATAAAGATGAAGTTCAGCTTGTAATCATTTACTTACTCTTGTGCCTTTTTTCCACGGAAGTCAAAAGGAGTTATTAAGCAGAATGTCTAAGCGGCTTAAGGCTGATTTAGACGGGGCTCTTTTTGGAGCTTCACCAAGGCTGCATTTATTTGATCAAAAATCATTCTAATATGCTGATTTGCTGCTTAAGAAATATTTCATATTATTATCAATGTTGAAAACAGTTTTTTCTGCTAAACATTTTTTTGTGGAAACTGTCATATCTTTTTTTTCCAGGATTCTTTGATGAATAGAAAGTTCAAAAGAACACCATTTATTTTGAAATGGAAGTCTTTTGTAAGCTCATAAAAGTCTTTACTGTCCATTTTTAAATGAGGAGTAAATGATAAAATTATTTTCATTTCTGTGTGAACTTTCTTTTGAAGCAGGGCTTGACAAACAACACTTTTTAGTTCCATACCTGCCCTTCAGTTGCTCAGCTGTCTTATGGTGGATAAAACTGTGCATATGTTTGTCCCACTCCTGTTACAACAAAGACAAAGTTCATTAAGAATAGATCTATATCCATAGCCATAATGTGCCTAAACATTACAGCCTAAAATGACCCTAAAACATTCCATTTGGGAAAGCAAACACCAATGAGTTATAGGTCCACCATTACATCATACACAAAAGCATTACTTACTGATAATATGATTTTAATTCCCTGAAAAATGATAAAGCTGAATATTGTAGGCTCCATCCAACATTGGTTCTCTCATAGTGAAGGTAGTACTGTCCTGTACATTATTAAATCTACCAACTCTACTTCTACCATTACTCTACCCAAACACAAAATTACTGACCTGTTCAGGGAAACGATGAAGGCAGATAGAACATTTGTCCAGATCTTTTTTTTCTCTCCTAAAATAGATTAAAAAAAAATTTCAACTTTGGATCTAGTACACAAACAAATTATTATAGATAAAATAATAAGCAAACTCATTTTAAACAGCAAATGTATTCAAATTTAACAGCATGTAAATTTCAAAAACATGTATTATTATCAAAACAGATAGATGTATTTAATGTATAAGGTAACAAACTTACCTGTCTTGCCGTCTTAGATCAAAACGGGCTTTTAATTCATTATCATTTATGTCAATATTGTAGTCCGCTTTAAAATGCTTTCTTTTATGTCTTTTATCTTGGAGTTTACACAGATTTTGTGTGTGCTTGTGGGCGGCAATATGCTCCTTGTACTGCTCTAGTCCCATCACAGATACATCACATGCCCAACACTTATGCAGCTGTTCACTGCAACAACAAAAGTGCTGATTTCAACTTACTTTATATTGCTGAGAAAGACATGATAATCAGTTCAGTGTAATTCCATACCTGCCCTTGATCTTCTCAATTGCTTCATGGTGGAAATAAGAATGCATATGCTTATCTATAACCTGTAAAAACAAAATATATAAACATCTAATCAAGTAGTGAGAGGCATAAATGAAAATACATCGTTTTCATGCAATGTCTTCATTCTGAACTTCCTCTCCACTGAGTATTGCATTGCATTTAATATATTAAAAATGTACCAAAAATGTTGATGACTCATCCTGCACTCACTGGTGTTGTCCAATCAAATATCTACAATGCCCCGCCCCGTCGTGTCATCAGCAACAAACTAGCAAATACCAAATAATGGTTCATGGCTATGACGTAAAAATGTAGAAAGCAAAAGGGTGCGGGTCCTTCTATATACACTGCACACACACACAAAAAACGGTCTAAACCATATTTATTGTTTTTTTTATGTATCTGAAGCCACAATACTAAAGTGGCCATACCCTGTTTAAGGACGCAACAGAGAACAACAAATAATAAGCACCAATAATTAAAACACCAAATTGTTTCAAATAGAAATAGTTACAAACAAACAAACCTTCTGTTCGTACTGCTGACCGCAGATAGAACATCTAATGCCAAAGTTGACGTTGGTTTTCTTGGTCTTTTTGCTCATCGTTGTGGTGTCTCTGAGCGTAAATGAAAGAAAGAATTTCTCGTTCACAGTGTTTTGATTTACAAAATAGAGCTAGCGATTATATTTATAAATTTGAATCGATGCTAGGCATTCAGAGCATTCGCTCTAGCTGGAAGACTCCTGTCATTTACATTAATCAGGCCACCCACAGATAATCACAAATTGAGAGATTACTGATCAATTTCATATCAATCTTAAGAGATAACGGTCACAAAGGCAGTCCTTTCAGAAAAGACCGTTTTTATGAGTTTTCAGTCTGTTACGATGCCTGTCCACGTGTTTGCTGCTGAATCAGTTTATTGACTGGATTCTGTTGCCAGATATCGTAAAAACAAGCTATTACATATTATCCAACATATGCAAATTCTCTGATCAAAATAAGTCCAAATAGCGACCAAATTTAATTTAAATAAGACTGAAAAAACTTTCGGAAAATGTATGTTAGGGAAAGTGTCATTCGTGACTTTACACGTTTATACGACTTTTCGTGTATTTTCTGCAGACATGGCAACACTGCCAGCACTGACAGTGCCGGAGAATGCTTCCCCTAGTGGTGTGGCTGCAATTCATTTTACAATTAATTAGAAAAAATATTATGTTCAGTTTGTAATAAACAAGTATTGCGCAAATCTGCTAAAAATATTTATATGTGCAAAATGCAATTTCTGTTCATTATATTCAGAAATAAAAAAAAATGTATAATTAAACCATTTCTCTGCAGCAAGCCCTTACAGTCAAAATGCAATAAAATGGTTTGAGCTCCTTGTAATGTAGAGTTTACTGTAGAAATGATTTTGCATTTCTCATTTATTTATTTACTTACCTTCAATTCATTATTAGCTGTGATCGCAGATGTGATGAATGCACCGACGGAGGCACTACAGTTCGTACAGAGAATTCACCGAAGAAGAAGACGAACACGGAAGCGTCTCAGTGTTTCTAATCTGCACTACTGTATGTATTAGTTTTATTTGTCTGATACGAAATGTGTACTGGTTGTGTGCAGAAACAGTATCCTGACAGGGTGAGTTCATGATCAATGCTGACTGCACATTTGTCCGAATCCTTCTGCTATTAACTTACTTGCTATCTGCTCCTTTAATGCCATTAAAGTGTATAGAGGCAAATGTAGCGCTGGCTGTTGTTTTCCAGCTACAGTTGAATAGCACTGCACTCCTGTGTGCTGAATACTTTAAAAGTGTTTTTCTTCGAACCCAACTGAACTTGCATTAGGCATTTATTTACCTCTTTCTAAAAATTCCATTTGATAGCACGAAATTGAGTTTTTCTAATCTGCACTACTGTATGTATTAGTTTTATTTGTCTGATACGAAATGTGTACTGGTTGTGTGCAGAAACAGTATCCTGACAGGGTGAGTTCATGATCAATGCTGACTGCACATTTGTCCGAATCCTTCTGCTATTAACTTACTTGCTATCTGCTCCTTTAATGCCATTAAAGTGTATAGAGGCAAATGTAGCGCTGGCTGTTGTTTTCCAGCTACAGTTGAATAGCACTGCACTCCTGTGTGCTGAATACTTTAAAAGTGTTTTTCTTCGAACCCAACTGAACTTGCATTAGGCATTTACCTCTTTCTAAAAATTCCATTTGATAGCACGAAATTGAGTTTGTTTGTGTTGTGTGCATAAATAAAGGATTTTTTTTTTTTATCTCTCTTACGTGCATAGGGTCATACCTGTCTGGAGAATGGTTCATATCTTATGAACTTTCTCGGCTGTGCTAACTGTCACCAGCGGGACTTTGTGCTGATCAGCGACAGGACGATGGTGAATGAAGATGAGGAGGAGGTTGTCACTTACCTGCGTGAGTCACGTGACTTCAGTATATGTTAATATTCGTTCAAATTTGTCATCAGTAACGCCTGCTTTTCCTCAGATATGTGCAAGAACTGTGATCATGTCATAGCCAGACACGAGTACACCTTCACTGTGGTGGATGACTATCAGGTGAGCAGTGCACTCAATTCATTAACTGAATAAGAAAAGTTGAAAATGTATGTAAATAGTACATAAAAACTAAAATTTAGTTGTTTAGGCTTTTACAGGGAATTTTTATTTTCATATTTGTTAATCAATTTTGCAGGAATACACAATGTTGTGCATGTTGTGTGGAAAAGCAGAGGATTCCATCAGTGTGCTGCCAGACGATCCCAGACAAACAGCACCTCTGTTCTAGAGTATTTGCCCAGACACAGAGACAGGGAATTGACTTCTTTGTAAAGAGCATGGTTATGCATGATGGAGGGAGCCATAACACATGCAACATTTTATATACGCTTAGCACTGGAGAACATGTTTAATCCAGAAGAATATACAGCAGAATTCATTGTGCTCTTTGTTTCTACTGCTTCAGGGAAGGCTCTAAGGTTCACAGCACAGCTTTGACTCATAAAGATACATGCATTTGAGTCATTCACAAATATTAAACCTAATTAGGAATCGCTTGTGTTTATCTGATAATCATCCTGTTTGATTCACTCAAAGTGTATGGAACCCCGTTTCTGGCAAATAGAAAAATAAAAAAAGATAATTACAAATTTTTATCTCACAATTCACTTTTTTTCTTGCAATTTTGAGAAAAATTTCAAGAGTTTTCTGTTTCTGCTACGTTATAAAAAATAGACAAGGTAATTCTGACTTTTTATGTCACAATTCAGATTGTAAGATTCCAAATTGTAAGACAAAAAGTTGTAGTTACCTTGTCTATTTCATTCTGTGGCAGAAACAAGCTTCCATAAAAGTGTTATTTTATTTCCCATGTTAAAATGCTTTCTTATCCCATCTTAATATGCACAATGTTGCTCTGTTGCCAATTATATGAGTCTGATCTGTTTGACTGACCAAGAAAGGTTAGGTTTGAGTGGATTATCAGTTTGTTAACCAGATAGGATTTTTGTTTCTATGCAGCGCTTAGATATACATGAGTCAAGATTGGATTAGACAGATAAAATGTTTAAAATGGTACACACAAGAAAATAAACAGATTCCTGCATGTTATTACTGACACTTACTGTATTTCCAGTGTTAATGCAACAAAATATTTTGTATGCTTTCTTTAAATAAACTATGAAACAATGCATTTTTTCTCTCAGCTGCCCTGAGTTTGGTCCGATGTTCACGAAGAACATCGGATAACCAGGAGTTCGAGGGGGCAGCCCGTGCTGGCCTGGAGGTGAGAGGACAAATATCATCTAGACAAGAGGTTAAAGTAGAGCATAAAGTGTCAGTTGCTGCATTCACATCCAGAGATGAGAAATGGGTAGGTGAGGGAAGAGAGGAGGATACAACGGAGGAAAGATGGGAGGGGGAAAGGGAGCGTAGGTTTCATCTAAAAGTAACCGGTATGGGGGTTGGTGGCACACAGGTAGCAAAATGTAGTTGAAATGTAATGAAGAAATGATCAGAGATATGTAGGGGTTTGAGAATGTTGTCTGCAATACAATTGCGTGTGTAAATTAAGTCAAGTTGGTTGCCTGATTTGTGCGTGCTTGTGGTGGTAAGTCGTTTGAGATCAAACGTGTTTATTAAGCTAATGACAGCATAATATTGTCACAATATAAAGCATCAAGTACTTAAGAGTACTTATTTATTCCATTGATGTGAATACATATACATTCCAACATGGTAACTTTGTTTTTTGAATGATTGAATTGTTTGTTAGCAAAATACAGTACATGAAGCATGAGGTGGAATTTATTTTTCTTAATATATTTATATCTATATACAGTTCAGGTTATATACAGTTCTTAAGATAAACCATCAGTTGTACCAACAGTTGTGGGCCTATACTGATGCTTTTAAAGTAAAAGTACTTCCAGAGGACAAAATAGACGATCCAGAGCAAAACAATTATTCTAGCTGCACAGCACACAATGAAGTCGTGGTAATGACTCGGTAGCAACAATCCCTTTGTACATCACACGGGTCTCGCACTCCTCATACAACTGTCAATAAATGCCATGGTGGAGAATTCAATCCCAAAAACCGCAGAAGTGTCTTAGCATAAGCAGCCAACTCATCAAGCAGACATCTTGCTGTTGTATTCAAGTAATATGGTAATGGGACTATAGTGTTTGAATCAAGTTCATTTAAGGGTCCATAGTGTTTCACTGCAATATATCGGTAAGTTTCTTACTGACGTTATGACTATTTACAGGGATTATTAGTATGATATTGCAGGCATGGAAGAGATTATACTTGGCAATTGCAAGGTTGCTGACCCTTAATGTGATGGCGAATTCACTCAGTAGCAAGTAATAAAGCTACATCATCAGGTACATAACCACATCCAATAAATAAATAAATGCATTCTATAGATGATACAGTTTACAGTACATACATTCCCTGAAATACATATATACACATGCTTGCTTGTACCAGATGTCCCTATACATGAATGATAATACACTGTATAGATAGCTATCTGTTGAAATTAGCATTTAACCATAAACGCTTTGACCAATGATTAAAAAACAGAAAAATTATAGAAAATGTAAGGCTAGAGTATCTGGAGTGCCTAAAAACATGCATCTGTTTGACAGAATACAATGAGTTACTAAGTGCAGCCCCATTGTTTTCAGATTTCAAATGTTCTCACTGATAGTTAATGTTCAAAATCTGACATATCTTACATATGTCAGATTGTATGTAAACCAGAAAGTGCAAAAAACATGAAAAAGTAAACAGATAATTTACATAGCAAGAAGAAAAAGAATATATGGCACACACTATATAGATTTGGATTGCAATGGGCAATTTGTTTAGAAGAAAGTTACACAGCGTCACTGGAACATTTAGCATGTTAATATTTCAAATTTTTCAAAAATGTCCAAAACATGATGCTCTCAAGTAATCACAACCAACCGGCAAATACCAGGTCCTTTATCACTCTACTTATCAAAACACCACTTGTAAAAACGCTACAGTTCATCAAACGCTACTTTTGAAACCGGTTGTCAAATTACTGACAACTCACGCCATCGGTTACAAGCTTTTCTCTTTATTTGCTCATTTTGGTTGTGGTTTTGCTCTCAGGACTTCCGGCTCTGACTCTGGGGCAGAACCCTGATCCGTGATTTACTGTTAAGTCACTGATTCGAGGAGGCGGGGAGGCCGAGCAGCTATTTGGTGACTGGCTGTGACCCCCCTCAAAACGGGAAGGCGAGGAGCTTAACGAGCGCTGCAGAGAGGAGGCAGTAGTGCGTTGGTAACGTGAGGTGCTGACAGCCAGTCCTCCTCGCTCCTGCATGAGCTGAGAGAGGTTGTCCAAAAGGTCCGTGTCACCGGTGCTGCTAGCACGAATGCGGTAGCGCCTACGTCTGAAATGACAATAACTTTCAATATCACATTGATCATGTAGAGGTATATTTAGGAATTGGACTACATTGGCTGTGCTGTTGTTTTATATTAACTAAAAAGAACCAGGTGAGAATGAGAGTTGATTGTTTGTGAATCAGACTAGACTGGTCACGTTGTATGTTTTTGATTCACTTAAAAGAACCAGCTATTTCAAACTCTTTATTAAAAGAACCAAATTCTTCCATTTTAAAAATCGGACTACACTGGTTGTTCTGTATATTTTTGATTCACTAAAAAATGTTCATGAATCAGATTACACTGCTCTTGTTACATATATGTCTTTAATTTACTAAAAATAAATGAATCATTTGTTGAATCAGACTACACTGGTTGTGCTGTATGTTTTTGATTCACTATAAAGAGTGGGTTCATAAGAGTCATTTGTTCGTGAATCAGACTACATTGGTTGAACTATATGTTTTGGATTCAATAAAAAAAAAGAACTGGTTCATAAGAGCCATTTATTCATTAATTAAATTACACTGATCACACTCATTTTGATTCATTGATTCACTAAAAAAAGATCCAGCTCTTAATATGCATTTGTTTGTAAATTGGACAACCCTGTTCGTCTCTTATGTCTTGGCTTCACCAAAAAGAACAGGTTTGTAAAAGTCATTTGTTCATGAATTGACTACAAATTGGTCACTCTGTATGTTTTTGATTCGCTTAAAAGAACCAGTTATTTAAAACTCTTCATTAGAAGAACTCAATTCATCCATTTTCAAAAATCAGACTACACTGGTTGTTCTGTACGGTGACGCATTGCTGCCACACACATTATTTTTTCCACTCAATTATGTCGTAATAACGAGATGTTATGTTGTTTTAACGACATCTTTTCTCGTTTTAACGACATCTTTTCACGTTTTTACAACATCTTTTCTCGTTTTAACGACATCTTTTCTCATAATAACGAGATGTTTTCTCGTAAAAACGAAATTCTCATAATAACGACATGTTTTCTCCTTAAAACTACATCTTTTCTCATTAAAACGATTTTTTTTCTCGTAATAACAACATATTATGTCATAAAAACCACATGTTTCCAAATAATAATAATAATTTTTTTTTAAATTTTCTCTCAGCCTGTCTTTACTGCCTATCCCATCACACAGAATAAGAGTTAATCTCATGTACCGCTCTGCAAATTAGTCACAATAACGTTTCTTCAAACTGTCAGGCTGTTGTATAGGCTATATTTCTTGCAAATATAGATCTCATATGAAGCACAACACTGCTCTTCTTGGTTCGGCGGCACCGGCGCGTTCCCTTATACACGATAACAGAGGAAAGAAATGTCTGCTTTATTTTCTATACTTCCACAATAACAACAAAACGTTACAAATTGCTTTTGTAAAATAACAGTGAGCGCTTTCTGGCGCACCTCGTTATGTCTAAAGGTCTACTTAAATAAAACAATCGAAAACAAATTTGTGTTTATTTAATTCATATAGCCTAAATCCAACAAGAGGTAGGCTACTGTACAGTCTTTCCCGTCTGAGCTCATTTGTATTCCCATAAGAAGAACGCGATGCAATGCGCGGCTTGGTTCAGCTAAAGATATCCTTTAATAATATATAATCACTAATACATAATTACTATATAATCAGACTAAAGTATCAAAGCTGCCCACGCATGTGAAACAAATATTAAAGCATAAGCTCATTTGTTTACCCACGAAAAATCTAGCTTAATTTTCATTTGCTCGTTTTCAAACAGAACAAAATAATAATTAAAAAAAAAAAATAATAATAATAATAATAATTATTATTATTATTAGGTTATTATTAGACAGTTGCTTAGCTAGCTCACATAATGTACCATATAGCCTATCTATAATAACGGAAAACGTGTCGTTTTTATGACATAATATGTCGTTATTACGAGAAAAAAATGTCATTTTAACGAGAAAATATGTCGTTTTAAAAAGAAAAGATGTCGTTTTAACAAGAAAAGATGTCTTTAAAACGAGAAAAGATGTGGTTTTAACGAGAAACAATGTCGTTTTAATGAGAAAAGATGTAGTTAAAACAACATAACATCTTGTTATTACGACATAATTGAGTGGAAAAAAAAAATGTGTGTGGCAGCAATGCATCACCGTAGTTCTGTATGTTTCTGATTCACTAAAAAAGCACAGTTTCACAAGAGTCAATTGTTCATGAATCAGATTACACTGCCTGTGCCCTA